CCAATTTTTACCCAAGGGCTTTTATTTGAACAAACATTGTAGACACTCACTAGAAGATGTTTTATGCTTAGTATCTAAACTCTAGCTCTGGGTTTTTTTAAAAGAAATTTTTTAAAGTTATTACTATACACATATAAGGAATATTAATGACCCCGGGGAAAGGTCAATTTCAACCCAGGGCATTTATTTGAACAAACTTGGTAGACACCTATTAGAACATGTTTGATGTTAAATATCTTTTTTAAAAGAAGATCTTTTAAGTTTTTACTATACACCATATAGGGATAAACAACGACCCCCCTCCCCATTTTGACCCCAGGGCTTTGATTTTGAACAAACTTGGTAGACACTTAGTAGAAGATGTTTTATGCTTAGTATCTAAACTCCAGCTGTCTGGGTTATTTTAAAATTAGATTTTTAAGCTTTTAGGCAAATCTGAATGCATCCCAGGGACAGGGCCAATTTTAACCCTCTTAAGCTCTTTGGGCTTTTTAAAAGAAAAGTTTTAAGTTTTTTCTTTGGGCAATCAAAGTTCTGCATGGAATTAAATTCTTTAAACAATTCTTAAAGGTGACCACTTAATTAACATCCCTGTGATAAGTTTGGATGACATTGGCTTACCGGTTATAATGAGATGTCAATTTAAGTAAAAGTTTACAAACAGACGGATGCCTAACACAAATCCATCACAAAAGCTCACTTTATTACTTTGTGACAGATGAACACCTTCTCACTGTGTGACAGGTGAGCTAAATATAAAATTCTGACTTTTACATCCAAACACACAAATAAACACAGCGATTTTTTTCCCTGAATTGTGAATGAGTCCGTATCATAAAAATTGTGGAAAAAAGCATTGTTTCTTAACAGATTGTGAATTTTTTAATTAAGATTGTTAATTTCTTATTTAAAAGCAGTAAGAACATATAATTTTTTTAACGAAATATACTGTTAAGAGACATTTTGAATGATGTTTACAGAAATTACCAGACGCTTGTTTCAGTATTGATTCGTCCCTAGAAGTTTCATATTTAAACAGTACGAAAATTTAAAGGGCGAATGCACCGGAAATCATGGTTGGCTAAACGCATTTAAGATAAACAAAGCACAACAGGCAAAATTTTATCATCAAGAGAGGAAATAATTCGTTATTAAAGGCTTAATTAATCAGAATTGTGAAATTTCATCAGAATTGTGAACGGCTCCGCCAGACCCAGTCTGAAAATTGTGAATGTCCGTTTATGATTGTGAATGGGTCCTTTATTCGGTACCACTTATATAGGGAAAAAAACGCTGAAACAAGAGGCACTCCGAAGGGTTGTAAATGTCCAAGGATGAAGACAAGTCATTAAGAAACAAGAGCTGTTGTAATGACAGCATGCTCGATTATTCTAAGTGCTTCGTTGTAAAAGAGCCTTGATAATGACAAATAGAGACCTTGGAGAGTGACCTTAATTATTTTCTCAAACAAGGGTATAAAGTTTCAACTCAAAGTTAGATGTCAATGGAATATGAAAATATTTGAGGTGGTACGCAAACATAAATGTAAATTCTAAGTCGAAAAAATGCAAAAATCTGTCAAAATGCTTGATAGAGTTACCTCCTCCTGTCTACAGAATGAAGGAATGATGGTGATTTTTTGTGGTGGTACGCAGCATTTAACATATATTCTGAATTGAAAAAAGGGCATAATTTTGTCAATATGCTTGATAGAGTTACTATCTCATGTCTACAGGTTGCAGACATGATGGTGAACAAGTCTGGAAAGTTTCAAAACCATATCTCAATGGACGTTGAAAATCAATGAGGTGGTATGCAAACTTTAACGTAAATTCCAAGTTGAACAAGGGGCATAATTCTGTCAAAATGCTTGATAAATTAAGTTACCTCCACCTGTCTACAGGTTGGGGGCATAATGGTAAACAAGTGTGCAAAAATTTTCAAAGCCATAAGTCAATGGACTTTGAAAATGTTTGAAGTGGTATGCAAACTTAACCCATTACTTCATGAGCATTTTGTGAAAAATGGCTGTTTTCATTGAAAAGTCTCCCGTTACAAGTTCAAATTGCTATAATACTATAAAAACTGCTTCAACACTAATCAAACTTGGCACAAATGTTGACTGGACCATTGCACTTGCAACAACATGCTCAGGCTTAAATTTTCTGTTACCATGGCAACGAGGGGACATCTCAAAATTGCCAAAAATCACTATTTTGCGTTGATTTTTTCCATCAAAATTGATTTCAAAGTGCTGCACTTTCTCAATGGATTGAGATAGAGTCAAATGCTTTTCAGCGTTGGTTACACGTTACCTTATGACCAATCTGGGGTCATTTACAGCCTCTCAACAAGTCCAAAATTTTTTCTTGGCGATGAGGGGGACTCCGCCCCCTTCAAACCCCCAAACAGAAGGGGGCACATCCCCCTTCTGGCAACCCCCTGATGTATCTTTTGGTTGGGGGGCCGCGCCGAAAAAGAGGTCACTTTTTTTAACAACATTTCTCAAACAAAAACAAGTGTTTGGGGCCTAAATAAGGCATTTTTTTCATCATTTGAGACAACAAAAAGGGGGGGGGGGTGAAAAAGGCGTTAAAAGGCGTGTATATGAAGTAATGGGTTAACTGAAAATGATGAAAATACTTGAAATTACCCTTAATCGCGTTTTATCATGTTTAAACATGGTCTGTCATACAAATTTGAAGAAAAATTGTTGTTTTGTAGATTTTTTTATTTTTTTCATTAACCCATTACTTCATGAGCATTTTGTGAAAAATGGCTGTTTTCATTGAAAAGTCTCCCGTTACAAGTTCAAATTGCTATAATACTATAAAAACTGCTTCAACACTAATCAAACTTGGCACAAATGTTGACTGGACCATTGCACTTGCAACAACATGCTCAGGCTTAAATTTTCTGTTACCATGGCAACGAGGGGACATCTCAAAATTGCCAAAAATCACTATTTTGCGTTGATTTTTTCCATCAAAATTGATTTCAAAGTGCTGCACTTTCTCAATGGATTGAGATAGAGTCAAATGCTTTTCAGCGTTGGTTACACGTTACCTTATGATCAATCTGGGGTCATTTACTGCCTCTCACAAGTCCAAAATTTTTCTTGGCGCATCCCCCTTCTGGCAACCCCCTGATGTATCTTTTGGTTGGGGGGCCGCGCCGAAAAAGAGGTCACTTTTTTTAACAACATTTCTCAAACAAAAACAAGTGTTTGGGGCCTAAATAAGGCATTTTTTCATCATTTGAGACAACAAAAAAGGGGGGGGGGTGAAAAAAGGCGTTAAAAGGCGTGTATATGAAGTAATGGGTTAACTGAAAATGATGAAAATACTTGAAATTACCCTTAATCGCGTTTTTTCATGTTTAAACATGGTCTGTCAAATAAATTTGAAGAAAAATTGTTGTTTTGTAGATTTTTTTATTTTTTTCATTAACCCATTACTTCATGAGCATTTTGTGAAAAATGGCTGTTTTCATTGAAAAGTCTCCCGTTACAAGTTCAAATTGCTATAATACTATAAAAACTGCTTCAACACTAATCAAACTTGGCACAAATGTTGACTGGACCATTGCACTTGCAACAACATGCTCAGGCTTAAATTTTCTGTTACCATGGCAACGAGGGGACATCTCAAAATTGCCAAAAATCACTATTTTGCGTTGATTTTTTCCATCAAAATTGATTTCAAAGTGCTGCACTTTCTCAATGGATTGAGATAGAGTCAAATGCTTTTCAGCGTTGGTTACACGTTACCTTATGATCAATCTGGGGTCATTTACAGCCTCTCACAAGTCCAAAATTTTTCTTGGCGCATCCCCCTTCTGGCAACCCCCTGATGTATCTTTTGGTTGGGGGGCCGCGCCGAAAAAGAGGTCACTTTTTTTAACAACATTTCTCAAACAAAAACAAGTGTTTGGGGCCTAAATAAGGCATTTTTTCATCATTTGAGACAACAAAAAGGGGGGGGGGGGTGAAAAAGGCGTTAAAAGGCGTGTATATGAAGTAATGGGTTAACTGAAAATGATGAAAATACTTGAAATTACCCTTAATCGCGTTTTTTCATGTTTAAACATGGTCTGTCAAATAAATTTGAAGAAAAATTGTTGTTTTGTAGATTTTTTTATTTTTTTCATTAACCCATTACTTCATGAGCATTTTGTGAAAAATGGCTGTTTTCATTGAAAAGTCTCCCGTTACAAGTTCAAATTGCTATAATACTATAAAAACTGCTTCAACACTAATCAAACTTGGCACAAATGTTGACTGGACCATTGCACTTGCAACAACATGCTCAGGCTTAAATTTTCTGTTACCATGGCAACGAGGGGACATCTCAAAATTGCCAAAAATCACTATTTTGCGTTGATTTTTTCCATCAAAATTGATTTCAAAGTGCTGCACTTTCTCAATGGATTGAGATAGAGTCAAATGCTTTTCAGCGTTGGTTACACGTTACCTTATGATCAATCTGGGGTCATTTACAGCCTCTCACAAGTCCAAAATTTTTTCTTGGCGATGAGGGGGACTCCGCCCCCTTCAAACCCCCAAACAGAAGGGGGCACATCCCCCTTCTGGCAACCCCCTGATGTATCTTTTGGTTGGGGGGCCGCGCCGAAAAAGAGGTCACTTTTTTTAACAACATTTCTCAAACAAAAACAAGTGTTTGGGGCCTAAATAAGGCATTTTTTCATCATTTGAGACAACAAAAAGGGGGGGGGGTGAAAAAGGCGTTAAAAGGCGTGTATATGAAGTAATGGGTTAAACGAAAATTCTAAGTCAAACAAGATTGTATTTGTGAACAAGGGTGCCATAGTCACAAAATACGCCCGTTTACGAAAGCTTTAGATGGAGATGGGGGCATTATGGATAAGTGTTATCTAACAAGCAAGTTTTTATCCTTGGCACTGTGTTGTTAAATGAACCTTAAAACAAATCAGTAGGGAAGATAAAAAGTACATGTAATTGTAATTTAATAACTAAAAAATTCTGATTTAAGATTTTATTCTAGGGAAATACATTTCATTACAATTCTTAATCTTTGAATGAGCTGAACTGATATTTACTTGAAAATTAAAATATAATTAAATTTCTATGGGAAAGTATTTACATTTGATAAGGTAATTACTGTATGATCTTTATGAACAAATACCAAGTCTACAGAACACCATAGTTATCACAGTTAAGAATCTTGACCAATGAATGAAACATGTGTAAATAAATGTTACATTCTTTAGAACATACTCAAGTCCAAGAAAGAGGATTATTTTATGCCCTTTGATTAAATTCTATTTTTAGAATTGAAAGTGAAAGTAGATCAAGGGGAGTAATTGTGTAAGTCATTTATGAACAAAGTAATAACTTTGTTGTCGCCCTTTGATTAAATTCTATTTACAAAATCTGGATATTTCATCATCTTTAGTGACCTTGACCTTGTATATATTGACCTAAATTATATGTATCACAGCCATAGTCTTGATAATGACCATTTGTGTTACAATCCCTCAATAAATGATGACTAAATGGTCCATATACACATCTTCATATTTTTATCTGAACTTTGACCTCTATGTGTGACCTTGACCTTGGCCGCAAGGACCTGAATCTTGCACGCGACACTCCGCCTCACAATGGTGAACATTTGTGCCAAGTAATATTGAAATCCCTCTATACATGTGGAAGTTTTGCTCCGGACAAGCATTTTTCAATGACCTCTAAGTGTGACCTTGACCTTTGACCTAGAGACCTGGTTCATGTGCGCGACACTGCTACTCATAGTGGTGAACATTTCTATGAAGTTTCATTAAAATCCCTCCATACATGTAGGATATATGCTCCGGACAAAATTGGACGCCGCCCGCCCGCCAGGGGCGTTCCCATAATACGTCCCGTTTTTCAAACGGGCGTATAAAAATGCTATGCCATCGTATTTATACAACACTAAATAGTAATGTAGGAACACAATTTTTTTTATTTCTTTACAATTGAAGATTGCCATAATACATAGATCACTGACCTATTTAATTGTTATTATCAAATTAGTGGTTAAATCTATTGTTATTCAAATAAACTAAAACTCCGCGAGTCAGATGTGTCGCCTTGTGAACAATATAGTTTAGAAGAAATGGCCAGGACAAAAATATAATGTGAAAATAAACAAAGGGCAATAACTCAAAATATAAGAAGTGCAGAGCAGCAGTTTTTGTGCGCTGCACTTCTTATCAATAATATCTATCATTCTATAAAGTTTCAAGTCCATATCTTTTATAATTTATGAGAAATGGCCTGGACAAAAATAAAGTATGACAAGAACCGGTTGAACCGGGTGATGCTCCCCGAGAAGGTTCTGGACACAGGAAAGTATAAAAAAAATGAACAAAGGGCAATAACTCCAAAATTAGACCAGGCTTTGTTTAGGTTCTTGAAGCGTTGCAGTTCTATCCAATTACATCTAGCTACCTACAAAGTTTCATGTTGATATCTCTAATAGTTTTAAAGTAATGTCCAGGACAAAAGTCAAAAAGTAAAAATAAACAAAGGGCAATTACTTCAAAATAAGGCAAGGCAGAGTAATGATTCTTAAGCACTGCACTTCCACCCAATGAGACCTATCTATCTACAAAGTTTCATGTTAATATCTCTTATAATTTTAGAGTAATGTCCCAGACAAAGTTCAAAGTGTCAAAATGAACAAAGGGCAATAACTCCAAAAGTAGGCAAGACAGTGTTACAGTTCTTGTGCACTGCAAACTTACTCAATGAGATCTATCTACCTACAAAGTTTCATGTTGATATCTCTTATACATTAAGAAATATGTCCCAGACAAAGTTCAAAGTGTAAAAAATAAACAAAGGGGGATAATTCAAAAATTAGGCAAGGCAGAGTTAAGGTTCTTGTTCACTGCACACCTACTCAATGAGATCTATCTACCTACAAAGTTTCATGTTGATACCTCTTATACTTTTAGAGTTATGTCCTGGACAAAGTTCAAAGTGTAAAATAAACAAAGGGGATAATTCAAAAATTAGACAAGGCAGAGTTACGGTTCTTGTGTACTGCACACCTACTCAATGAGATCTATCTACCTACAAAGTTTCATGTTGATACCTCTTATACTTTTAGAGTTATGTCCCGGACAAATTTCAAAGTGTAAAAATAAACAAAGGGGGATAATTCAAAAATTAGGCAAGGCAGAGTTACGGTTCTTGTGCACTGCACACCTACTCAATGAGATCTATCTACCTACAAAGTTTCATGTTGATACCTCTTATACTTTTAGAGTTATGTCCCGGACAAAGTTCAAAGTGTAAAATAAACAAAGGGGGATAATTAAAAAAATTAGGCAAGGCAGAGTTACGGTTCTTGTGCACTGCACTTTCTACTCAATGAGATCTATCTACCTACAAAGTTTCATGTTAATACCTCTTATACTTTTAGAGTTATGTCCCGGAACAAATTTCAAAGTGTAAAAAAACAAAGGGGGGTAATTCAAAAATTAGGCAAGGCAGAGTTACGGTTCTTGTGCACTGCACTTCTACTCAATGAGATCTATCTACCTACAAAGTTTCATGTTGATACCTCTTATACTTTTAGAGTTATGTCCCGGACAAAGTTCAAAGTGTAAAATAAACAAAGGGGAATAATTCAAAAATTAGGCAAGGCAGAGTTACGGTTCTTGTGCACTGCACTTCTACTCAATGAGATCTATCTACCTACAAAGTTTCATGTTGATACCTCTTATACTTTTAGAGTTATGTCCCGGACAAAGTTCAAAGTGTAAAAATAAACAAAGGGGAATAATTCAAAAATTAGGCAAGGCAGAGTTACGGTTCTTGTGCACTGCACACCTACTTAATGAGATCTATCTACCTACAAAGTTTCATGTTGATACCTCTTGTTGTTTCAAAGTTATGTCCCGGACAAGAAAAGGGGACGGACGGACGGACGGACGGACGGACGGACGGAAAGACGGACGGACGGCCGGACGGACGGACGGACAAGGCGGCGACTATATGCTCCCCCGAAATTTTTTCGGGGAGCATAAAAATTATTTAAGGGTAATAACTCAAAAATAAGAAATGCAGAGTACCGGTTCTTGAACACTGCACTTTTCCTTAATAAGATCTATCATCCTATGAAGTTTCATGTCCATAGCCTTCATACTTGAGGGAAAAGACGTGGACAAAAATAAAGTATGAAAATTAACAAAGGGCAATAACTCAAAAAATAAGAAATGCAGAGTACCGGTTCTTGTGCACTGCACTTCTTCTTAATAATATCTATCATCCTATGAAGTTTCAAGTCCATAGCTTTTATACATTTGGAGAAATGGCCCAGACAAAAATAAAGGATGAAAATTAACAAAGGGCAATAACTCAAAAATTAGGAAGTGCAGAGTACTGGTTCTTGTGCACTGCACTTCTTCTTAATGAGATCTATCATCCTATGAAATTTCAAGTCCATAACTTTTATAGTTGAAGAGAAATGGCCCGGACAAAATTAAAGTATGAAATTTTACAAAGGGCAATAACTAAAAAATTAAGAGGTGCAGAGTACCAGTCCTTGTGCACTGCACTTCTGGTCATTGAAAGAAGCATGCATACCAAGTTTGAAGTCAATCCGACTTATAGTGACTGAGTTATGCTCCGGACAAGCTTAAGGGGACGCCGACACCGAAGACGCTGATACCACCGCCGCAGACAAAAACAAGCAAATTCGTTGAATTTATATCCCCCGCCGAGTACTGGTTATTATTAACACAACAACTGAAGACATAAGGCTTTATTTATATATTAATCATGGCATAAACAGTAATATTCTTTGAACTTGATAAATATTCAGGGAAATAACAGAGCCATAACTTTGTGTTAAATAGTTAAATCTGGAAATGCCAATGAGATGTATGCATACTACATAACTAATCAAGGGCCATAAATCTGAGTTATAAGTATCTAACTGGAACAAGGCGACTATATGCACATCTCCTCTTAGTATCCCATAAAGTTTCATTGAATTTGAGCCGGTGGTAGCAGAGAAGTAGCGAGGAAACAAATATTTTTCTATATGGATACTGCATAACTAATCAAGGGCCATAACTCTGAGTTAAAGTGTCTGACCGGAACAAGCCGATGATATGCCCATCTCCTCTTGGTATTGAAGGTTCCCATAAAGTTTTGTTGAATTCCAGTCAGTAGTTGCAGAGAAGTAGTGCGGAAACGATTTTTACTCTATATGCATACTACATAACTAATCAAGGGTCATAACTCTGAGTTAAAGGGTCTGACTGGAACAAGCCTACGATATGCGCATCTCCTCTTGATATTGATGATTCCCATAAAGTTTCGTTGAATTCCAGCCAGTAGTTGCAGAGAAGTAGTGCGGAAATGATTTTTACTCCATATGCATATTGCATAACTAATCAAGAGCCATAACTCTGAGTTAAAGTGTCTGACCCAAACAAGCCGACGACATGCGCATCACCTCTTCGTATTGAAGGTTCCCATAAAGTTTCGTTGAATTCCAGCCAGTAGTTGCAGAGAAATAGCGCGGAAACGATTTTTACTCCATATGCATACTGCATAACTAATCAAGGGCCATAACTCTGAGTTAAAGTGTCTGACCGGAACAAGCCGATGATATGCGCATCTCCTCTTGGTATTGATGATTCCCATAAAGTTTCGTTGAATTCCAGCCAGTAGTTGCAGAGAAGTAGCGCGGAAACGATTTTTACTCTATATGCATACTACATCATAAACTAATCAAGGGCAATAACTCTGAGTTAAAGTGTCTGACCGGAACAAGCCTACGATATGCGCATCTCCTCTTGATATTGATGATTCCCATAAAGTTTCGTTGAATTCCTGCCAGAAGTTGCAGAGAACTACTCCGGAAACGAAATTCGGACAAACAGACGGACGTATGGACGAACGGACGGTCAGATGCCCATCTCCTCTTGATATTGATGATTCCCATAAAGTTTCGTTGAATTCCAGCCAGTAGTTGCAGAGAACTACTCTGGAAACGAAATTCATACGGACGGATGGACGGACAGACAGACAACACCAAAACTATATCCCCCTCCCGATTCCATCGGCAGGGGATAATAACCCCTATATGTAGCCTTTTCAAGGAGACACAAAAATCAGAGAAGGAATCTATTAATGCAGTTGATAGTTGATTTTAGCGAATTTGGTGGTGAAGGTAATTTCACATGGCCTAAATTCCATGACTGTACATCAAAGGACAACAAAGTAAGACACTTTGTCAAATTCTAGGCCAGCTGATATCAAAGTTCACTTTACATCTTTAAGGAAAACCTATGACCCCTGGGGTGGGGCTGATTTTGACACTAGAGGCAAAATTTGAACAACTTTGGTAGAGTACCTATAGATGATATCATATACCGAATATCAAAGCTTCAAGCCTAATGTACCTTCAGACAACCCGTCTGTAGATTTTCCACAGTCTTTCTGGAAAAACTCTGGAAAATAACTGATTTTCCATGAATTTCCATGAATTTTCATGGAAACAAGCTTTTTTCCACAGTATTTACAGAGTACTCTGGAACAATTTTCATGGAGAACTCTGGAACTTGACTTTTTCATCAAAGAAATAACCATGAAACAGTTCTGGAAACTCTGGAAAGTTAACACTTAGACAATTTTCAAGGAGTTTTACTCTGGAAAACACTTAGTCATTTTTGAGAAAGTTTTGGACTTAGGAAATTTCCATTTTATTTCTGCATTTACATATACTTCACTTAATACATTTAACTTAAATATTTTTTCCTAAGTAGTCATAAATAATCTTTTTAATATAAGACAGTTTTCTGGTTTTAAGACATAATGAAAAAAAAAAGACAATTTAAAATATGGCATTAACACAATGTTGAACAGCAAGAACAAATGAATTTAATTACTTAGCATTGAGATTGGTCAACATGTGTACTCATTGTAATTAAAAGTAGCAGTTAGCAAAATAAACACTTATAGTTAAACAAAATGAAACCATCATAAGCCCCTCAAGAGCTCAACTGTTTCTTTTTTTATTGCAAAAAAAAAGCTTAAAAAAAACACATGCAACTCCATTGCCACACTTTGGCATTAAAAATGCATTTAGGTATTTTTTCATTTAACTCTCATTATTTTCAAGGTATCTCATATCAAGCCTCAGATCTGAGAGGTTCATTATTATATATTACCCTTAGTTGGAAAAAATAAATACACAATTAAAGAGAAACAATTAAATTTAAGAACAAATGTAATTGTTATGCACTTATGTTTCTTTATTAATTGATGATAAATTTATTATGTATCTCTATTGAAGTATATAATTATTAGTCCCCTACCGGTTTACCGGAGGGGACTTTAGGTTTACCCTCCGTCCGTCTGTCTGTCCGTCCGTCAGTCCGTCCGTCTGTCCGTCCGTCAGTCCGTCCGTCCACAAAACTGGATCCCGCGATAACACAAAAAGTACTGAAAATATTTTAATGAAACTTGATATATGGATAGATGGCAGTATGGAGATTATGCACGTCTTTTTCTTTTCTTCCTATGTTGAAAATTCTGGTTGCTATGGCAACAAATAGACTGAAAATATGGCAAATTTTACACATAACCTGGATCCCGCAATAACGCAAAAAGTACTGAAAATATTTTTATGAAACTTGATATATGGATAGATGGCAGTATGGAGATTATGCACGTCTTTTTCTTTTCTTCCTATGTTGAAAATTCTGGTTGCTATGGCAACAAATAGACTGAAAATATGGCAAATTTTACACATAACCTGGATCCAGTGATAACACAAAAAGTACTGAAAATATGTTTATGAAACTTGACATATGGGTATATGGCAGTATGGAAATTATGCACATCCTTTTCTCATCTTCCTATGTTGAAAATTCTGGTTGCTATGGCAACAAATAGACTGAATTTCAAGATTTCTGATTCTAGTTTTTAAGTTTTTTCACTATAAGTTCTTTATTTCTTAAGGTATTTTCTTCAAACTTTAAATATAAGTTGCTTGTAATCAACCACATCATATGTGACAAGGTTTACAACTCTAGCACAAAATTTATCAGAATTACCTCCCTTGAACTTAATATTTTCATGAAAAAACATTGTTTTTTTTTTAATAACTTCTTTTTCTGAATGTATCTACTTCAAACTTCATATAAATGTTTCTTATTATCACTCAACATTTGTGAGTGTTCAATACTCTAGCAAGACTATTTCCAGAATTATGCCCCTTTTGAACTTAGATTTTTTTTTTGAGAAATTGGTAATTTTTACTCCAACTTCTTCAATCATGATAGGATTTTAAAAATTTTATATTTTGATAACAGGGATGTTTAAAAAATAACTTTAGAGTGTCCTTCAGTCCGTCTGTCTGTACATAAAAACTGTTTCCTGTGATCACTTTTAAAGAATTTTTTCAACAAATTTACTTAAAATAGGAACATAAGTGAATGGCCAATGGCCCTTCAGAATGTTGCTTGGGCTCTTACCGGTAGGGGACTTATGGATTGCTTGCAATACTATGATAATTGCTTGTTTTATCTATATATTCATCTTGTGTAGAGGTAACTTATGTATAGTATTTAATTTCTAGAACATTCAAATCAGCATCAGCCACAATGTAAATATTTATGACCCCTCAAGTGGAACCAACTGTTTTCATAAACACCAAAGTTAAACTCACCTATCTGATATAAGAGAATAGAAAGAGGTAAAGTAGGTTTACAACCTACTATATTACACTGTAGTTCCCAAGTAACTTAATACCCTTGCAGAACAAATCACAGGTCAGAACACTCCTTCCAGGCGGGTCATTTGAACAGAAAGCATTGAAAAGTGACTAACTGCTTAAAAGTTATAACTTGAAAAATTATGTTTGAGCATTGGATATTAGATCAAATGAGTTTAAACTGGACAAATTTACAAAAGTTTTCTGGAAATATGAACTTTTAAACATGTGTATTTCATGATTCAGTGAAAATGGAGGGAACTACATGTATATCATTGTATATATAACCATTTCTAACAGTAAGTACAAATGTATTTTTATTTTTTAACACTTATCATTTTAGTTTTTTCAAATTTTCTTTGCAAGTATACACTGTTTTAGTGATTGTATTTCTACATACATGTACATGTAACTTTACAATATTAATAGTTAAGAAAATCTTTTTCATTTTTGAATAATGGCGGGAAATTTTAAATCAGAGATTATAATTTTCCATTCAAAATATTTGTGATTGAAACAGATTCCATATCAAGCAATGAATTTCCAAATTCACATTTAATAAAATTCATATGCCTTAATTGTAATTTCTTGCTACTCATGTACATATGTTTATTTTTCAACATATTTAGGTTGCAAACTTTCAAGTCTTGGAGTCACATGAGATGTTTCCTCTCAAGGATATCAGATCAGGGAAAATGAATAAATGTACTGTTGAATACAGAATGCTTACAGAACTATCCTGGTAATAATTTAGTTTGTTTTGTTGAAAAAAGTCGAAGTAACATGTTTTCATATAAATGCATGCTATTTTCCAAACACTGAACAAAATGTTGCTCTTCATGTTTTATGCATATAATTTTATTATTGTTATACTGACTCCACTGAACACATCTCAAACTTTCAGTGGTATTATAATTAAGTACTTGTGAAGATCATTTAGTAATTTAAACTGCCATTACATAAAGTTGCCATTACATAGCTATAGGAAAAGCAGGGAAATAATTGACACAAGTTTATCATAATGTTGATTTTGACCAAAAAAATAATATTTTCATCAAAGCATGGTATTTACTTTATAACTCTGTGCTGATATTCTGCAAAAATCATTGAATTGAAAGTTTTCCATCTTAACTTTTTTCACCCTTTTGTGTTTTTTATCAATCCTGTTTAAACAATACTAATTATATTGACATTGTGCATATAACACAAGTACATGTATTTATATACAATTAATTCATATTTTTCAGTATCCATCAGAGAGGTCACACCACAAGTCAAGAAGATGTTGCATCATGCGAAGTGAAGGATTATATACATGTGTTCAAGATGGATGTTAAATTACATTTGTTTGAATAAAACACTCTGACTTCAAAATAATTGTGAAATGTGCAAATTACTATAAGTGTTTGAATTCTTGATGACTATATATAGAGTGCTTTTTTGGATATGCTAATAAAAACATATTAAATGCAAATTAAAAGGTCATTTAATTTTATTATGCAACCATCATTTCAGTAATCCCAAAATGTTCCAGAGTGAATTCCATAGTATTTCCAGAATTATTTCAAGGCTAATTAATGGCATCTTACCCCATATCCTATTTTTAACTGCGGAACTTTTTCCACAGCGGCTCCGGAACATTTTCCAGAGTAACTCCGGAACATTTTCCAGAGTAACTCCGGAACTTTTTCCAGAGTAACTCCGGAACATTTTCCAGAGTCACTCTGGAACATTTTTTCCGGAGTAGAATGTCATTTTAGCAGAACAATTTCCAGAGTTGCTTTGAAGACTCCGGAACATTTTCATGGAAAACTCCGGAAAAGTTTTATGAAAAAAGCTCTGGAAATTCATGGAGAAAGTACATGAAAATTCATGATTTTTTTTTCAGTTTTCTTTTAACAACTCCGGAAAACTAGTCCGAATTATCCAGAGTTGGCAATTTCCATGAAAATTCCGGAAGTTTTCATGGAAATTCATGGAAAATGTACGGACGGGAAGATGGTATTTTAAGTTTTTACTATATGTACATACAGTAAAAAGCAATGACCCCTGGGGCAAGGCCAATTTTGACCCCAGGGCTATAATTTGAACAACCTTGGTAGAGGTCTACCAGACAATGTCTTATGCAAAATATCTATGCTCTAAGCCTTGTGTTTCTTTACAAGAAGATTTTTTTTGCCATGGCAACCAGATTTCTGCATGGAATGAATTCTTTGAACAATTTTGGAAGCCCTTCACCCAAGGATGAATCCTGCCAAGTTTGGTTGAAATTGGACTAGTGGTTTTTCACGAGAAGATTTTTAAGTTCACTTCATAATCTATAGAACACACAAACATACATACAAACACACACACAGGTTCATCACTATATCTCACCGCATCACAGATGCTGTGGTGGCATAAAAAGGAGCATAATTCTGTCAAAATGCTTGAGAGAGTTACCTCCTCCAGTCTACAGGTTGTGATCATAATGGTGAATAAGTGTGCAAAGTAACAAAGCCATATGTCAATTGACTTTGAAAATATTTAGGGCGGTACTCAAACTTGAGCATAAATTCTAAGTAAACAAGAGGGCCATGATGGCCCTAGATCGCTCACCTGACCCATCAAACTCATCTGAACAATTACCAACACAAGCATTCTGACCAAGTTTTTTATGACAGGTGAGTCTAAATTGTGACCACTAGAGTGTTAACAAGCATTATCCATATTTGACCTAGTTTTTTACCTAGGTGACCCATATTGGAACTTGACCTAGAAATCATCAAAACTTTTAGACCAATTTCAAGAATACTTGGAATGGATCAAAACAGTAGCCTCCTAGACAAGCATCCTGACCAAGTTTGACGATAATTGAGGCAAAAATGTGACCACTAGAGTGTAAACAAGGTATTCTATTTTAGGCTCCAGTGACATAGCTTTTCATCCGAGATGACCCGTGTTCGAAATTATTCGAGCTATCACCTAGACAAGCATCCTGACAAAGTTTGATGATGATTGAGGCAAAAATGTGACGGCTAGAGTGTTAACAAGCTTTTTCTATTTTTAGCTCCTGTGACCTAGTTGTTCATCCGAGTTTACCCATGTTCGAATTTCATCCGAGCTATCAACTAGATAAGCATCCTGACCAAGTTTGATGATGATTGAGGCAAAAATGTGACCCCTAGAGTGTTAACAAGGTTTTTCTTTTTTTCTAGCTCCGGTGACCTAGTTTTTCATCTGAGATGATCCATGTTTGAACTCATCTGAGCTATCAACTAGATAAGCATCCTGACAAAGCTTGATGATTGAGGCAAAAATGTGACCGCTGGAGTGTTAACGAACAAGTGTGGACGGACGACGACATTCAACGATCCTAAAAGCTCACCCTGAGCAAGCTCAGATGAGATAACAAGAGGGCCATGATGGCCCTGAGGTCGCTCACCTGTATATAGGCCCCACCAACCCCCAAAACGTTGCAGGGCCAATTTAACCCAAGGGCTTTTATTTGCACAAACTTGGTAGACACCCATAAGAAGATGTTTCATGCTAAACATCTAAGCTCTAGCTCATTGGGCTTTTTAAAAGAAGATTTTTTTAAAGTTTTTACTATACACATATAGTTAAAAACAATGACACCCCTGGGCCAGTTTTGACCCCAGGGCTTTTATTTGAACAAACTTTGTAGACACTTACTAGAAGATGTTTCATGCTTAATATCTAAACTCTAGCTATTTGGGTTTTTCCAAAGATTTTATGTTTTTGCTATACACATTTAAAGAAAATCAATGACCCCCGGGGAGGGGCCAATTTTGTCCCCTTGTCTTTTACTTGAACAAACTTGGTAAACACCTATTAGAACATGTTTCATGCTAAATATCTTAGCCATAGCTCTTTGAGTTCTTTAAAAGAAGATTTTTTAAGTTTTTACTATATGCATATAGGGAAAATCAATGACCCCCAGGGCGGGGCCAATTTTTAACCCCAGGGCTTTTATTTGGACAAACTTGGTAGACACTTATTAGAACATGTTTCATGCTAAATATTTTAGCTCTAACTCTTTTGGTTCTTTAAAGAAGATTTTTTAAGTTTTTTACTATATGCACATAGGGAAAATCAATGACCACTGGGGCGGGGCCAATTTTGACCCCAGGGCTTTTATTTGCACAAACTTGGTAGACACCTATTAGAACATGTTTGATGGTCAACATCTTAGCCATAGCTCTTTGAGTTCTTTAAAAGAAGATTTTTTTAAGTTTTTACTATATGCATATAGGAAAATCAATGACCCCCCCCCCGGGGCGGGGCCAATTTTGACCCCAGGGCTTTTATTTGAACAAACTTGGTAGACACCCATTAGAACATGTTTCATGCTAAATAGCTTAGCTCTAGCTCTTTGGGTTCTTTAAAAGAAGATTTTTTAATTTTTTACTATATGCATATAGGGAAAATCAATGACCCCCCCGGGGCGGGGCCAATTTTGACCCCAGGGCTTTTATTTGAACAAACTTGGTAGACACTCACTAGAAGATGTTTCATGCCAAATATCTAAGCTCTAGCTCTTATGGTTTTTTAAAAGAAGATATTTAAAGTTTTTTCTTTCAGTTGCCATGGCAACCAGAGTTCTGCATGGAATTAAATTCTTTGAACAATTTTTAAAGGTGACCACCAAAGGAACATTCCTGTGAAGTTTTAATGAAATTGGCTGAGTGGTTTATGAGGAGATGTTATTTAAAGTAAAAGTTTACGGACGGACGGACGACGGACGGACGGACGAGGGACGGACGCCAGACAAAAAGCGATCACAAAAGCTCACCCTGTCACTTTGTGACAGGTGAGCTAAAAAGGGGCATAATTCAGTTAAAATGCTTTATAGAGTTACCTTCACCTGTCTACATGTTGGGGGCATGATGTTGAATAAGTGTACAAAGTAATAAAGCCATATGTCAATGGACTTTGAAAATATTTGAGGTGGTACACAAACTTAAGCATAAATTCTAAGTAAAAAAGGGGCATAATTTTGTTAAAATGCTTTAAAGAGTTACCTCCACCTGTCTACAGGTTGGAGGCATGATGTTGAATAAATGTGCAAAGTAACAAAGCTATATGTAACTGAACTTTGAAAATATTTGAGATGGTACGCAAACTTAAGCATAAATACTAAGTCAAACAAGAGCTGTCGGTAGGACAGCACGCTCGAATATTCTAAGTAGTGATGTTCCGATTGTCGCAAGTCTCCGATAGTCAGTAACTGTTATGTAAAGCGACAATAATCGATTAACAAAAATTTGTTCCGCGACGTCGTCGAAAATGTTTAAAGTATCAAAGGGTATTAATTCTGACGGTAATTTTTTTTTAGGAACACCTCGCTGATCTAAAAAAAATCATATCAGAGACAATTTGGAGCTGAAAAGGATCAACCAGTGATGTAAACAATAGTAATATAATGTGATGTGAATGCTTTTATTTGACATCCATTGAAAAATAAAATCTATTTCGTAAAATTATGACTATATAAGGTTAAAACTGTATTGAAAAGTGTTAAATGAAGTTCATGTCACTGAATATTACTCAGTGCCTTGGGAAGAAATGTTACCTCCCTATTTCTTTTTAACGCGACTTTATTCGTAAAGTTATCGATTATGTCCCATCCGACTGAACCGATGATCGATTGGGAGAAATTTCATCCGATTTCCATCACTAATTCTAAGTGCTTGATAGTAAAAGAGCCTTGATGTTTAATTTTGTAAGTTCACAAAAGGGCTAATTTTATTTTATAAATTCATGTTATAGGCCTTAGAGAGAGTCTAATTATAAAGTATTGCCTTGACTATTCGGAAGGAAATGTCACAAGGGTGTTTTATTGAGTATTATAATACTAATTACCTATGAATACATAAATTTGACAGAAAAGGTACAAAGGCTTGTTATTAAGATGTTTTATCAAGTAAATCACTGCTTTACTATCATGAATGCATAAAATTGTCCAAAAAAAACCCACAAACCCTTAAGTAGTTATTGAGATAACAGCTTACAAGCAAAACTTTACCATGAATTTCTAAGTTGAAAAAAGGGGAGAAAAATCAGCCTAAATGCAAGATAGAATTATGGATCTTTGTCAGTGACCTACAATTATGACCCTAAATGCATATGAGAAGTTTTAAATAAATATCTTTAATATTATTGAGATATGTAAAACTTGCATGTAAACATTAACCAAGCGACTAAGTAGAAAAGGGGATATGAATCAGCCTTAATGCAAGATGGAGTTATGGAACTTGGTCAGTGACATACAATTATGACCCTCCAATTATGACCCTAAGTGCATGTGTAAAGTTTCAAGTAAATATCTTTGAAGACCTTTAACCTTTAACCAGAATTTCTAAGTTTCAAAGGGGCGAATAAT